ACAAATATTAATATTTTACACATACAACATTCAGGTGAATTTGAACAGAACACGAGGATTAAATACTGACACACTTTAAGAGAAAACCCTGCCACCCAACTATACGTACCCAGATTGACAAAGCTCATCACCATATCCGCGTCATTGAGAAAGTTGGTGTCTTGCGCGGTGGCCAAAGGCGGGCTCTGACTGGTCAAGGGCGCCGCGCGGTATGCCTGCTGCGGCGCGCTCGAGTATCCATGTGGAACCACAGAGGCGCCTTTACGCGCTTTCCCAGAGAGCGTCCTCCCCAGTGTCGCGTCCTCTTCCTCGGTCGTCATCGCGTTGTGCAGGTCCAGCATGAAGAGCGGTGCCGACGACGCTTGCTTACCCGGGGAGAAGGGCCTGGGACGGTGAGGCAAGCCTAGGATGGAGAGGATTTCTCTCTGGATCTCTCGCCGCTCGTGGTTACGCAACCGCCTGTAAATAAAGCTCGAATGCACATGGTTGTCTCCTAAACCGCACTGAACGCCGTGAAGAAAGCCGAGACAGCTCCACAGAAGTCCAAATGTTGGCGCTCTCATCTTTATTTCTCAGGATGATGCTTTCACCAAGCGACTGCTGGGTTGATGATGGTGCTCACCATGGTGCACCATTAATAGCCGACTTTGTTCAAGTTCTTTATTGATCAAGTCTTTATTCCGTATTTCCTCTCAAACCTAGAATGAATTTCTTCTTGGGCTTCAAGGTGATGCCTCAGGTCAGCTTGCGCCGTGCAACATCTTCACTATTGTCATTAACCTGAATTGGATTCTGAACTGAATTGTTTAACATCAAACACGTAATGTAGTAATCGAGAGAAACGACTTACAAAGGACTGTTCACCTGCGCATTTACTGAAAGCAGCAGCACGGAGCGCCTGGGACCAGAAGCGTGCAGCCTCAGGAGTCAGGGCTTGAACTAGCTCAAGTCGTGCATGCATCGACAGAAGACTACATCCCTGAAAAAGTGTTGAAAGCGGTAGTCCGTCCCACACTCTGGAGGGTTTGCATCAACCTCTAGCGGTCGTATATAAAACATCGTTGAGCTGGGGCATGAATGCAAGCTCACCGTGAAATGAGAGACACTTGATATATGAGACCTTTCGTGATTAGTCAAAGGAAAAGTCCAGGCGGGCAAACACCTGTCAGCTTTATTTCAGCGTTGCTCGCTCTATTGGCTTATATTCGAGCTCACGACAACTGAGTGCACTTTTCCAAGTAATTGTTTGCTATGGCAGTGCCATTATTTGGACTTCTGTTGTTATTATGATTTCAACTTCTACAGTGGCAAACAACTGCAATTGTGAGACTTCTACAAGTTTGCAAACTTAATATGGATAAACGCTGGGCTGGCTGTAATACCTACGGTATACGATACTAAATACTAGGCTATATTTTTTAGCCTAGTATAT